CAGAAAACACTGGGCTTGCCTTCCAGTTATCAAGTTTGGCTCAAATAAACTCTTAAGTAAATATCTCCAGGGGATGTGCTGCAGCGATGGGGAAGGTGACAGGCGATGAGGCTTACCTCCAGGGGGCAGTCTGTTCTGCTTCACGGTCATCACCCTCTCCTCTGGCTGTTACATGTGGGTTGTCTTCTGGCCTCAGTTTATTCCTTATCGGAGCCTCGGCCCCTGGGCTCATCGCTCAGTACTCGGTGGACCATCATCACACCCTTCTGCACAATGGGTATGCCTTGTGGCTGATTCACGTGGAGAGTCCTTGTGTGCCATGGTATGTGCAAGTCTAAAGGCACCACAGATGGTCGGGCTCAGCTACTCTGGTTCCTGCAGACGTTCCCCTTTGGGAGAGCCTCCCTCTCCATCTTGATTGCTCACAGACCAAAACGCCAAAAACAAACTTAAAGGAGGTACCCAACCTTTCCCTGCACTGACATCCACCTCACTCTTATTGGGGGATGGTGTGCTTACTCCATCTTTCTGTTTCCTGGAAAGTCACGACCCTGTAGTTATTCATTATTTCATAGTCTCTGCTTGGGTTTTAGTGGATAATAGGAAAAGGATGTATCTTTCCCATTCTGCAGACTAACCTACTTGGCAGGGTACTTCTAGCTACCCTCCCGAAGGCCTTGGCTGTGTTGGTGCTCTCTCCCTGCCATCTGGGTTAAGCCACGTACTGAATTTGCTTGTTGGTATACCTGTGCTTCCACCTTTTCACTGAAACACCTTACCCATAACACCTCCATCTTAGCTGATTAGGGGTTGCTTTTTGGTAAGGTAAAATCTGTTAGAGTGAATTTACGGAAATCCAACTCAGATTTTTTAGAGGCATGGTCTTCTCCTAGGGAAACAATGACAGTAGTATTAATGGTGTCAGGAATAAGATGGCACATTATAGAATTAAATGGATTAATGAATAAAATGCTGTGAATTGTACCCCTCCCCCCAAAAAAATCCTCCACAGGCTTACAGGTTCTCATGTCAATGACTTCAAAGTGGTTCATTTATGTTGTGGATTTTATGCTGATTCAACTGGCAGGGAACCTGCCAGAGTGTCACAGGGGGACACGGCACAGCTGGGGAAGCCTCCTTTCCTTCCTTCTTTTTTATACACTTTCCTTGACTCCAGAGAAGAGGCCAGGGGATGGAGACTGCAACCCGGGCATGTGCCCTGACCAAGGAATTGAACCATGACCTCCTGGTTCATAGGTCGATGCTCAACCTCCCAGTCACGCCTGCTGAGCTGGAAAAAGGCGGGACACTTATGTCCATGACAACCAACTGCAAACTCGTCTCATCTCCAGCACCTGTGAACTCATTTGAACTCATCCCATCCAGGTAGCAGGTTTTTAATAATTGTGTGCACTTCCCTCTCCACATGGGGAAGAATGGTGTATGAACGTATGTTGTCAATGAAGAAAAGATTACCTGTTGAGGTAAGAAATGTCCAACATGTAGACAATGTTATATAAGATTTTATTATAGCCAAACTGACGAGAACTGTTGGGGAGCAAGATGTCAAATTCTTCATAGAATAATCTTTTACAGCTGTGTTTGTGCATTTGAAGTTAAGGAGGGAAGTTGAGGGATGACATGGAGGGGGGAGAGAGCAAGGTGGGACTGGATGCCAGGATAGTGAACAGGAGGTGCTCTCTCTCTCTTTTCTAATCTTTATTGTTGAAAGTATTGCATAGGCCCCCCTTTTCTCCCCATTATCCTCTCCTGGTTCATTCCCATTCCCTCCCCAGACCCTCACCACCCTATCGTCTGTGTGCACGGGTTAGATATATATGAAGACAAGCTCATAGGTTGATTTCTTCCCAACCACCCTCCCATGCCTTCCTTCTGAGGTTCCATAATCTGTTCATGCTTTTGTGTCTCTGGGTCAATTTTTGTTGATCAGTTTATTAGGTCCATTAACAATGCAGCCATTATGGAAAACAATATGGAGTTCCATCTAAAAATTAAAAATGGAACTTCTATTTGACCCAGTGATCCCACTTCTAGGATTACATCCTAAGAAACCCAAAGCACTCATCAGAGAGAATGTGTGCACCCCTGTGCTCATAACAGTGCAATTTACAACAGCTAAGCCTTGGAAACAGCCTAAGTGCCCGGCAGCAGATGATTTGATAAAAAAAAAATGTGGTACATCTACACCATGGAATACTATGCAGCCATGAAAAAGAAAGAATTCTTACCATGTGCAACAACAGGGGTACGTCTGATAATAAGTTAATCTCCAAAATGTATAGGAACTCATACAACTTAACAAGAGGAAGACAACAACACAATTGAAAAATGGGCAAAGGGCCTACGAGGTAAGTCTCCAAAGTGGACACACAGATGGCTACGACGTGCTCTCCTGAGGGTGGTCATGCTGATGTCAAAGGTGTGTTAACCCAGATGCACAGGAACAATGGACGGGGTGCTTAAGGCAAAGATGAGCCCTTTAGTAAAGAAGTCATAGGCCTGGGGCGTGCCCACCCCCAGGACTGCCCAGGTAGGAATGTGTGATCAGAGCCTCCTGTGAGGGTCCTGTCAGTCACTGAGTTTTGTCAGATTTACGACAGAGCCTCCTTTTTGCTCACAAATACAATCCCCCAAACTAGACATAGCAGAGGGCTTTCTGTGAGCTCTGTGGCTGAGCCTCAGAGCAGGAATCTCTTCTGTCTCATTCACACTTTTATCCTCGCCTCTAAAACAATGTCTGGCACATAGTAGGCACTTCATAGGTATTTGTTGACTAAATCACTATTTCATGATTACCTAGCACAAAGCCTGGCACAAAATGAGGAACTCACTAAACAGAGCCCAAAACAGCCCAATCCGTTAAACTGCAGACAAAAAAAAGCCATGGTTAGATTAGGGACCTCACCCATAGTCCTACCCATGCTAGTGATTTCCATTATGTTACTGCTTCGAGGAGGAAATGGTATGTTTGCTCAACTCTCCACCTGCTCCTGGTCAGGGCCCTGTGCTGGTACTGAGCGCCCCCTGCTGGTCATGGACGCTCCCTGCAGCCCAGCCCTGCTGTCTCTTCAGGGAGGTTTGTGTCTGGGCTCACACTAACTTCCCCTCACTGTGTCTCTTGCACAGAAATACACGGCCATGTCCTCGGCTCTCAGGCTGCTGAGCTCCATGTAGGCTGTGCTCGTGGACGTGTTTCTGGTCATGGAGACTCTGCCTTGGAACTTCTGTGCGTACTTTGTGTCTCCATTGCCAGGGTAAATCCTCCCCTTCCACTCAAGCCCCTGTCCTGGGGCCTGTCGCACCCAGTGCATGTAGTAGCTGGTGAAGGTGTATCCAGAAGCCTTGCAGGAGACCTTCACGGAGGCCCCAGGCTTCCTCACCTCAGCCCCAGACTGCACCAGCTGCACCTGGGAGTGGACACCTGTGGGGAGGAGACAGGAGTGAGTGGAATCCCCCTTGACTCTCCCTGGACCCTCCTTAACCCAGGACAGGAGCCCCTTACCTGTCACCATGGCCACCAGGAGGAGGGCTCTCCAGCTCCAGTCCATGCTGAGGGCTGTGCTGTGAGCACTTCTGTAGGGGAGGGTGTGGCTGTGGGTGATGCCCTCAGGGCACAGACTTACCCATATTTAACGTGGTCTACCTCCTCTCTTTTGCATATTCATGAGGCAGAGTATTTCATAGCTGAGGTCTTGACCCCACCTGAGAGAAGATGGGTGACACAGGGACCATGTACACTGGGAGTCTGAGGGTCCAAGTCCTAATTTTTTTCTTTAAATTATACCTTTATTGTTGAAGGTATTACACATGTCACCTTCATCCGCCATCGACATCTTCTAGCCCTGCCCCGGGTGCCCAGGTCTTCACCATCCTATTGTCTGTGTCTCTGGATGACCCACATATGCATACGAGTTTGTTGGTTGACCTCTTCCCACTCTCCCACCCGACCATAACTCCCTCTGAGATTCCCCAGTCTGCTCCATGCTTCTAGGTGTGTGGATCCATTCTCTTTATCAGTTTATTTTGTTCATTAGATTCCACATATGATTGAGATCATGTGATACTTGTCTTACTCTGACTGGCTTATTTCACTTAGCATGATACTCTCCAGGTCCCTCTATGCTGTCCCAAAGGGTAAGAGATCCTTCTCTTTTACTGCTGCATAGTATTCCGTGGCATAAATGTACCACAGCTTTTTTACCCACTCATCTACTCGTGGGCATTTGGGCTGTTTCCAGTCTTAGCTATTGCAAATTGTGCTGCTATGAAGATAGGGGTGCATACATTGTTTCTGATTGGTGTTTGGGGTCCCTTAGCATATATTCCTAAAAGTGGGATCAGTGGGTCAAATGGCAGTTCCATCTTTAATTTTTTGAGGAAACTCCATACTGTGTTCCATAGTGGCTACACCAGCCTTCATTCCCACAAGCAGAGTATGAGGGTTCCATTTTCACCACATCCTCACCAGCACTTGTCATTTGTTGATTTATTGATGGCAGCCATTCTGAGAGGTATGAGCTGATACCTCATTGTCCTTTTAATTTGCATCTCTCTGATGGTCAGTGATTTTGAGCACTTTTCTTCTATCTCTTGTTCATCTGTATGTTCCCTTTGGAGAATTGTGTATTTAGGTCCTTTGCCCATTTTTTAAATTGGATTGTTTGTCTTCCTTTGGTTAAGTTGTATGGATTTCTTATACATTTTGTATATTAACCCTTTATCACATGGATCCTTGCCAAATATGTCCTCTCATACTGTGGGCTCCCTTTTCATTTTGAAATTTGTTTCTTTTGCTGAGCAGACACTTTTTGTTTTGATGTATTCCCATTTGTTTATTTTCTCCTTAGTTTCCTTTGTCCTGAGAGATTTATCTGTAAATACATTGCTATGAGAGATGTCTGAGATTTTGCTGCCCATGTTTTCTTCTAGGATGTTTATGGTTTCCCTACTCACATTGAAGTCTTTCAACCATTTTGACTTTACCCCTTTGTATGGTGTATGTTCAGGTATTGTTTCATTGTTGTTTTTTTTGCACGTTTATCTGTCCAATTTTCCCAACAATATTTATTGAAGGGAGTGTTGAGACTCCATTGTATGCTCTTGCCTCCTTTGTCAAATATTAATTGAGCATAATGGCTTGGGTAGATTTCTGGGTTCTCTATTCTGTTCCATTGATGTATATGCCTGTTCTTGTACCAGTACCAGGTTGTTTTGATTATTATGGCTTTCGAGTATAATTCAGTTTCTGGTATTGTGATCCCTCCAATTTTGTCCTTCTTTCTTAAGATTGCTGTGGCTAATTGTGGTCTTTTTTGGTTCCACATAAATTTTTGGAGTATTTCTTGTAGTTCTGTGAAATATGCTGTTGCTATTTTAGCAGGGATTCATTATGTCTGTAGAGAGCTTTGGGTAATATAGACGTTTTAATTATGTTAATTCTACCAAACCATGATCACGGTACATTTTTCCACTTCTTTATATTTTCCTCTATCTCTTTATTCAAAATCCTGTATTTTTCTGAGTACAAGTCTTTTACTTGCTTGGTTAAGTTGATTCTTAAGTATCATAATTTTTTGATGCAATGGTAAATGGATTGTTGGTTTGGTGTCCCTTTCTGAGAATTCATTATTGGTGTATAAAAGTCCCATCGATTTCTGGGTGTTAATCTTGTATCCTTCTACATTGCTGAATTCTTTCCTTAAATCTAGTAGGTTTTGGTCAAGTCCTTTGGGTTTTCTCTGTACAGTATCGTGTTGGTGAGGAGAGTCCTCATCACTGCCCACATGTCCTCTGCCAGCAGCAGTGCTACCCCCTCCTCTGGGGTCTGCAGTGAGAAAGCTGGAAATGAGAGCCTCAGAGAAAGAGCAGGAGCCTTCCCTGGAGGCAGCTGAGAGCTTGAGAGGAAATCCCTGTGCCCAACAGGAAGGCCCTTCCCCCCCCACCTCCCTCTGCCCCAGCTCCTAGGGCTGCTCTCTGTGTTGTGGGTCCTGAGCGCCCCCTGGTGTCCCTGACGCTCCCTGCTGCCCAGCCCTGCTGTCTCCTCAGGGAGGTTTCTGTCTGGGCTCACACTGACTTCCCCTCACTGTGTCTTGCACAGTAATACACAGCCGTGTCCTCGGCTCTCAGGCTGCTGAGCTCCATGTAGGCTGTGCTCGTGGACGTGTCTCCGGTTATGGAGACTCTGCCTTGGAACTTCTGTGCGTAGTTTGTTTCTCCATCTTCAGGGTCAACCCACCCCATCCACTCAAGCCCCTGTCCTGGGGCCTGTCGAACCCAGTGCATGAGGTAGTCAATGAAGGTGTATCCAGAAGCCTTGCAGGAGACCTTCACGGAGGCCCCAGCCTTCCTCACCTCAGCCCCAGACTGCACCAGCTGCACCTGGGAGTGGACACCTGTGGGGAGGAGACAGGAGTGAGTGGATTCCCCCTTGACTGTCCCTGGACCCTCCTCTACCCAGGACAGGAGCCCCTTACCTGTCGCCATGGCCACCAGGAGGAGGGTTCTCCAGCTCCAGTCCATGCTGAGGGCTGTGCTGTGAGCACTTCTGTAGGGGAGGGTGTGGCTGTGGGTGATACCCTCAGGGCACAGACATACCCATATTTAACGTGGTCTACCTCCTCTCTTTTGCATATTCATGAGGCAGAGTATTTCATAGCTGAGGCCTTAACCTCACCTGAGAGTAGATGGGTGACACAGGGACCATTTTCAGTGGGAGTCTGAGGGTCCAAGTCCTAATTCTTTTTTCTTTAAATTATACCTTTATTGTTGAAGGTATTACACATGTTCCCCTTCATCCCCCATTGACACCTTCTAGCCCAGCCCCAGGTGCCCAGGTCTTCACCATCCTATTGTCTATGTCCCTGGATGATGCACATATGCACACGAGTTTGTGGGTTGACCTCTTCTCATCCTCCCACCTGACCACGATTTCCGTCTGAGATTCCCCAGTCTGCTCCATGCTTCTAGGTCTCTGGATCCATTCTCTTCATCAGTTTATTTTGTTCATTAGATTCCACATATGAGTGAGATCCTGTGATACTTGTCTTTCTGACTGTCTTAATTCACTTACATGATACTCTCCAGTCCCTCCTGTTCTCAAAGCATAAGAGATCCTTCTCTTTTACTGCTGCATAGTATTCCCTGGCATAAATGTACCACTGTTTTTTTACCTACTCATCTACTTGTGGGCATGTGGACTGTTTCCAGATGTTGGCTATTGCAAATTGTGCTGCTATGAAGATAGGGGTGCATACATTGTTTCTGATTGGTGTTTGGGGTCCCTTAGCATATTTTCCTAAAAGTGGGTTCACTGGGTCAAATGGCAGTTCCATCTTTAATTTTTTGAGGAAACTCCATACTGTTTTCAATAATGACTGCACCAGCCTTCATTCCCACAAGCAGTGTATGAGAGTACGCTTTTCTCCACATCCTCTTCAGCACTTGTCATTTGTTGATTTATTGATGGCAGCCATTTTGAGAGGTTTGAGCTGATACCTGATTGTCCTTTTAATTTGCATCTCTCTGATGGTCAGTGACTTTGAGCATTTTTCCTTTATCTCTTGTTCATCTGTATATTCCCTTTGGAGAATTGTATATTAAGGTCCTTTTCCCATTTTTTAAATTGGATTGTTTGTCTTCCTTTGGTTAAGATGTATGGGTTTCTTATACATTTTGATTATTAACCCTTTATCACATGAATCCTTGCCAAATATGTCCTCCCATACTGTGGGCTCCCTTTTCATTTTGAAAGTGGTTTCTTTTGCTGTGCAGACACTTTTTATTTTGAAGTATTCCCATTTGTTTATTTTCTCCTTAGTTTCCTTTGTCCTGAGAGATGTATCTGTAAACACATTGTTATGAGAGATGTCTGAGATTTTGCTGCCTATGGCAGGGGTGGGCAACCCCTGGCATGCGTGCCAAACATGGCACAACAGTAACTTTTGCTGGAACACGAAACTCTCTCTTATAATCTTCCATTTCCAATTTTTGTGAACATTTGAATGACTTAAATGTTAAATTACAAGGAACTACAAGACACTTGATGTTATATTTGGTTACATAAAGGCTTTTGAAAAGAAACTGGAAGTCTTTAAGTGGGATGTGGATGGTGATAGATTTAGATATTTCCCAAACCTCAAGAGGCACATCAAAGACCTCCCAAAACATGACAGAACAGACTGTCAATGCCTTCAAAAGCTGTTTTTAAACATCATCAAGTCAACTATTGAGCAGTTCTTCTCAAGATTTGAGAAATTCAGAGAACTGGAAGAGACAGCAAAATTCATGAGGTTTCCAGACAGCATGAAACTGGAGGAACTAAACTTACGTTTTCATGGATAGACATGGCTGACTTTGAAATGCAGTTGATTGAATTTCAGAGTAGCTCAATTTGGAAGCAGAATTTTATTGACATTAGATTTGACTTGGAAAACATTGAAAAAAAGCGATTAGAGACAGGAGTACCAGAGAAAAGTGTCGAAAACAAACTATTGAGAACTTGGAATGCCATTCAGAACATTTTTTCTGTTTAAAAAACTTTGCAACAGCA